AAAAAAAAAAAAAAAAAAAAATGGTGTACTTACCTGAGAAATACAGAAAATTTAAAGGGTGAAACAGCTCAGCAGCTATGAGTTTACTGCTGACCGGCTTTTGTTCATGGTGGTGGAATGTCCAGTACATCTCATGTGAAAGCTCACTCTCTCAAGTCCGGTGATCCATAGAAAGATCCCGTATGTCAGGAAAAATCAAATTGCGCAGGAGTGGGAAGAGTCCATACTCTGCAATATCAGGTCTCTTTCAGGCTCTGAGAGGAGTTGGTATTAAATTCACCAACTCCAATTTAATACTTTAACAGCATTATGAATGAAAGACCGGTTACATGACAAAAACATGGCAGAAATGTACATATATACTTATTTCTTTTACCTTTACAAAGCATTTGATGTTTGTATTGTCATTGCACTAGCATGTGTAGCTTAATGCTATGATCACTGGCACCTGATATTCACTGAAGGAAAACAGTCTGAGTGCAGCACCTTTCACAAGGAGTTGATTCCACACAGGTTCTTTGTGCTTGCTAACCAGGTTTATGTGAAGTGTGATTTAATTACTGTTGCTAAGCTAGAACAATGAGAAAAAAAGCTGATCCTGTTATTTAAGACAGGTGTAACAAGAAGGCCCAAAGAAGTAGGCAGGTGTTCTGTGTCCCTTAAAGCACCAGCCTGAGCGTTTCCACTCAGCCACATCGCCACACGTTGCCTGCCAGACTGCAACGTGAAGTCACCCCGTTTCCACCCAGGCTCAGGAGAACAGATAAAAACAAAAGGATGAGGAGGAACAGAGGGTGCTAAAAATTCAGATTCTTCTTTAAGTTAAAAAAATATCATTTCTAAAGGATTGACTTTAAAAATATTCATGCTTGAAATGAGATCCAAAGCTTTGTGCGTGACAGGTCTGTATTTTTCATTTAATGGCTTTCGTTAGACTGAGTCAGCGTCGACAGGAAACGGCACAGAAAAGCGGCGGAGACGTAAAGACTGGGAGAGGGAGGTGTGATAGAACCTAAAAATGTCTTCACTTTAAAAGCTGCTCTTACTTCCAAATCAGCCCACATATACACACAGATATATTTCTGAAAAGGCCTGTGGTCATTTTGTGTTACTCCAGTAAATTAACAGCAGTGAAAAATAATACAAATAGAAATATTTATAAAACTGAGTGCACTGAAACGTGTTTGAAAGATGGCGAGAGATGACAAAGGTGACAGATCTCACCTTTTTTGTGCTTCTGTTTCCTTTTCAGACGGCTCTACTTCCTGAAGGTGTTCGTAGGCAGGACCTGAGAACTTGGATCCGCCGATTGGGTTTAGCCGTCCTCTGGCTATAGGAGGCGTTCTGCGAGGAGTTGACCAGTGAGCTGAGCGGGTTCTCTGCTCAGGGCTGTGGGACAAGGAGCCGCTTCTGGAAAGGAAATAAAATATCATTAAAACTCGACAATTAAAAACATATTTTTAATGTAATATTTATGTTTATGACAGAGAAATACATGGAATGAGTGTAACTTCTTGGATAATGGTGGAGTTTTACCTTAACATGTAAAAACTCGCCCAATTATTTCACACCTGTGTACATAAGCAGCCAGCGCCGTTACCAGCTGCTAAGTGGAGGAACGACTGATGGGATTTTGTAGACACAGTCAGATTTAATAGATTAAGCTTCCAATAATAATCTGGCACTCACAAATTATGATGACACCAATGCTTCTGTGAAACAGCTGGAAAGTAATTTATTCTAGGGAATGTAAAAAAAATTCAACTCATCTTTAAATACCACATTAAATTTGATTTTTTCCTGAATGAAACATAATTAAATGGAACATTTTCTTAAATGATGGTGAACAGTAGAAAATTGTTCATTTGTTGACTCATCTATCGGCCAATCAGAGGAGACGTCAGCGTCTCATTCAAGTGTTGGAGCAACAAGCTCCTTGTACTTAGGAGTGGCTACATGTGCGGCATTTTGGGGAAATTTTACTAAGCAATTTTATATTCAATACATTAGAATGTCACATATTTTTTTATAAACCGTTTGAAATAATCAAATACATAAATAAATAAAACATCCTCTTCCCACCACTTCCTGTTGTCTTCTATGTGGGTTTTGCCAGTAGTAACAGCTGGTTGTTGATCACATCAATTGTGGGATGTGAAAAAAGTGCTTTGGTTGCAGTTTTGCAAAATACATCGATTTTGAGTAGCGGTTGTTGTCACAAAGTTGTAAGTCCCCCCAAAAATCAGATTTTCCTAAAATGTGCAGAGACCAGTTTCCAACAAAAATAATTCAAGCTCAGGTTTGTCTGTTTCAGCTCCAAAATGTTTCAGCAGCTTTAAAGTTTTCATAAAAAACTTGTCAGATTTCATTCACTGTGATCTAAAGATCAAAACACCTCTTTTGAGAAAATAAAACTTTATTGGTTGTAGTTATATAAACCAGTTAAAACTTTAAAATATATTATGCAATACATTTTATAATGGTAAAAAAAATAATCTTTGTTGAGATTGGGTTTAATTTTTGCATGCAACTCCACTTCAGAATACGGTTCATATTTAGGTCTGCTGGTTTGAGTGGTTCTTAGAGACCGTCTGTCTCTAAGAATGAACTTCTCAGCCACAACAACAGTAACTTACAGTTAAGCACTTAACATCGCTGGCAGATTTTTCTGTCCCATTTCTTCCTATAAACAAGACATTTTCTGTTTCAGGTCAAGCAAAGTGTCCAAGTCATTGCACAAGCTGGTGTGAATGCTCAGGATGTGATTTATTATAATTCAATTTTTTTTTTTTTTTTTTTTAAAAAAAAGCAAAACAAAAAATTCCCAAATAAATAATATAGTAATTAACGCTACTCTTCTGAAAGAGAGAGTGATTTTAGGAGGAATTAAAGAACAGATCTTGTAGGAGTTGAGCAATTATGCTAAGTGGAGGAACGACTGATGGGATTTTGTAGACACAGTCAGATTTAATAGATCAAGCTTCCAATAATATTCTAAGTTATTGAGTGGGTCTGAACTGTTGAAAAGAAACTTTAAACACTGCTGGACAGTGTCAGGCAGAAATAGGAATATTGCTAAGCTGATATTAGTTTGAATTGTAATGAAAGACAAAATCCTATGTTGCCTCCAATTACTATGAAATTGTTGTATATGTCACACGTGACTTATAAGACATATCATTTGGCATCATAGCAGTATCTGATGCCTTGAAATTGTGTCTCTGTCTCTTTAAGAAGCCCCTACTCTTCCTGGCAGGCCCACTTTCAGCACGTCATCACAACGATACTCCCATGATGCCATTAGGAGCGTCAAACTGAGAAGTAGTCCATTTCATGAGCTCAGCAGATAAGTGGTTAAATCAGGTGTTTGCTAATTCCTGCTGCCGCTAGTCTGAAGGAGCCGAGTGGGGGAGCTAAAGCTAAAAACTGTAGATTTTGCCTATTTTTATGAACAGCTGTTAAAGTTTTGTAATTATGTTTGAGAGAACAAAAAACCGATGTTGGTTCCTATTAAAAGCAGCGATTGGTAAAGGAAGTATCCACTTCAGGTGGAATGCTAACTGCACTGCAACATCACTCTTCAAAAAATACAAAGTATGCTTCCAGTGTTTTTCTGAAGTCAAACACATTGAGTCTACCTTTCTCATCTTGTGGGCTGAACTTGCATTTTATAGTTCTGCTAAGTACTAAGAACTAATGTGGAGTACAAACCTGGATTACGCTGAATAACCACTCAGCATGTTGAGTTTTTATAAAACGTTACCATGTTGCATTATCTCAGCATCACAGAGAGTCAAACTGGGAGAAAATGCTTTATTTGGTTTGTTCTTGTGCATTCTAACAGAAACCTTGGTTTGATAGAGGATGTCATTTCAGTGTGTGTGCATGCATGTGTGTGTGTGTGTGTGTGTGTGTGTGTGCGCGCGCGTGCATGTGTTTTTTGCCATGCCAAAGCCGAGCCAGCAGTGTGAGAAAAGTTTTCTGAGCTCTTACATGTCTGCGCTGGCCGGCTCTCGTTTCATCTCTGTTCCATTTCCACTGCACTCATGACTGCTATAGATATGCTTATTAAAGTGTTTATAGCTTTAATTATAATTACCACCATCCTTCTGAAAATCAGCAATTAGCCTTGCTGGCACTGTAATGCGGATAATTCAATTTCCCCTCTTCACTGAGCCCATGTTGATTACAAGGGAAGACACAGAAGTTCCCCATTGTTGGTAAAAAAATAAAATGAAAAAAAAAAAAATCTACATTCCCTCCCGAAGCGAGGAGAAGAGTCACATCCGATTCAGAATGTGGGAGCAGCTAACTGGTTTACCGGTGATGTCTGGCTGCGCCTCTGGAGCCGCTGGGCGGCGGGGCGGAGACAAAGCTGGACTCACACACACTTCCCTGGTGAGACGTGGGGGGACGCTTGCAGTACTGGAAACACAACAGAGAGAAAACAAGTCATCAGAAATCCTGCAGATCAATTTCAGATTTCCTCAACCGTCTCTGGTTTCCTTGATTCTGTGAGTGCAAATGTGATAGGTTGAAGGATGATTATTTTTTCACCTGTGCTATCCTGGGATATTCTAAAACTTTTTAATGATTTCATAACATTAAAAAGGTTTAGAACAAATATTAATTCATATAAACAATCTAAATACAAGAAAATTGTTAAAAACTTATTTTTTATGTTGCATAAATGTTTATTATTTTATTTAAGGAACTTCTAATCTGTATAGTCATAATTGGCTAGTAAGCCTTTCCGGGGATTGATCGGTAGTACCACATCTCCCCTACCTGCAAGGGTTTAATACAGATGTAATCATTAATTAGAAAGAGAAAATTTATGTCTCATTCTTACCCTTTTTTATTCTGAGCTAAGTGAAAATGTGTTGCTGAGAGAGGAAACAGCCGAGAAAACGAAAAGCACGAGAGCATGAGGTTGAGTTACAATTCTTTTAGAAATATTTATGACTTCAGAGATGACAGCAGCTGCTGTATATGCAACAACTTGGTAAGAAAAGAAAGGCATTATAGAACTTTGACTACACAACAGACTGTGGGTAAAAATGAACAATAGTCCTCAGTCGTTCATTTTTGTTCCACAAAAGAAACTAATTTAGTAATTAAATTGAGATAAAATTGCACATTTGTGGCAATGGAAGTAAGAGAAATGAAAATTAATCAAACGGCCAATGCAATTATTTTCTAAAAAGTTGTAAAATCAGGTAGCTTTTCATAATTTATAACCAAAAAGGTTTAGAATAAATTTAGATTGTTCCATTGCTAAGTAGTTGAGAACAGGTCAAAATCACCATAGACATGAATTTATGTTAAAGAATTTATGAAATGAATACGGTATGTTAATTTTTAATTTGTACTGTGAAATGTTTTGAAATATTTGGAAAAAATGAGCAATAACCTTTTATTTTATGCATTGCCTTCCTTTTTCCGTAATCATGTCTACCCTGCTTAAATCCTTGACAGAATACATCTGGATTATCTCTGGTGGTTTTATGCATTCCCACATCTCTAAGAACACATGCAATGAAATCAAAGCAGTTCTTTGATTCTGTTCTGTGAACACCACAGACGAACCCAGCTGATCTGCAGTAAAAACATATTATGACTGTTGGAATTCAAATGTCAAAATGTTGTGTGCTACTCTTACTGTATATAGTTTTGATGTATAATTCATGCCTGAGTGACAGTCTTCTCTGTTTAACAAGATTTCACCATCATTCTCTGTGTAACTCCTAGAAATATGGCAAGTGATATGTTTTTGTGCTATTCCTTCCTCCAAAGTACTTTTTCCAACTTCCTTCTTGTCAGTTTTGATCTCTGACTAAGTGGGCTGTCACTGACACAATGCCCTTTGAGGAAACTCTGCAGGACACCAGCCTTATTAGCGTCACACATGCTGTCATGCTGACCATGATTCAGGCACTTGGAGGATAATTTGTTCTTTAAACCAGTGGTCCCCGACCACCATTCCACGGAATGACTGGTACCAGTCCGTGGACCAATTGGTACCGGGCCGCGCAAGAAATAATTAAATATTTCTGTTTTATGTATCATTTGAGTCTGGAGGACCTTTTATTTTGAAAATCCTTTAACCGGATTCTCTCGGTTTCGTCTTGCACGCCAAAATTGAGCCCACAAGCAGCAAAATGAGTAAAAAACAGATCAGATGTCTTTGGAAAGTTTCTTTGCGAAGGGGAAAAGGTCAGAGAAGAGACAGGAAAATGGATTTATCCCGGTAGGTCATTCCCACATTCCAAGCCCGCTATGCATTATATGCGGCACCGGCTCACTAATGAGCCGGAATGAAGCTTCCAACTGCTTCGCCATGTAGAGACCAAGCATGTTGCATAAGCAACACTTCGGGTGTCATTGCCTCCCATCACTCCCAGATGGGACCGTCTCGTTGCAGAGAAACAAGCTCAGGGCTCCGTTAGTCGTTATCGTGAGCTAAAATTTTCACAAAAGTAAAATGTTTGTTTTTGTGGCGCATCTGTATCTTATTTTGAAGGAATATGTAAACATTTCCATAGCGACCAGAGTCAGAGAGCGTTAGCGCAGTGGTCGAGAGGAGATGAGTAGAGCTTGTGAGTATGAAGTCTGGTTCACACAGCACGATTTAAGAACTGTCGGCCGATTTTCCAAACCTCTGTGACCACAGAGCTAATAAAAGTAAAACAGGTTCGATCGGTTCGTGTGTCCAGCCACACGGCAGGAGCAACACACCACACGAACCGATTCCAGTCACCAACATCCCGGTTCCAGAAGAAGATCCCGTAACATACAATACGTAAATTTAGAATAATCAAACAGTAGTGACTATGTAGAAGCAGTAGTGATAGTTTGTGGACTTATTTTAAGCAATAAAAGACATAACAAAAAGAAAAGGCTTTGGATAAATGACGGCGGGAGCAGCTGCTCTATCTGCTACACTATGATTTGGAGGCAAGTTATGTTTTTTCGTAGTTAACATTTTTAACTGAATAAAACATAACCACATATAATAAACATATATAACAACAACCTTTACATAAAATAATAAACATTTCCACATATCTCCGATGTCCACCGGACTCTCAGTTTGCGCCGTGTCAGCTGTTTGGGATTCCCTTCCGTGCTTACGTCACTGCGTTGTCTGATTGGCTACCTGTCATATTCAACAGGCTGTATTTTTGCTCCCAGTCAGGGAAAACCTCACAGGCTGCAGTAATCGGGCAAAGACAATGTTGAATATGCTCGATGTTAGATTGGGCATATTCCAACACAC